ATTTCATAGCGGAAATGGGCTTCGATACTAAATGTTATATAAAGTGGTGATGAAAGGTGCTGTAAGCTTTTGTACTTCTCACAAACCTCATCAGGGGCTGTGTTGTTCAAGCGAAGAGTCATTGTCAGTACTGGGGGGCTAAGCACCCCAAAAGGTCAGATCCTAGAATCGCCCCTGTCACCATGTGATGAGAATGACTCTCAGCTACTACCACGTAAACGGCGCCTGTAATTTTGAGTAAGGCAGACATTTTTGTGTTGGCAAAGGTAGATTAGCTGTAGCGGCCATCTTAAATTGGATTGACTCCAAACCAGAAATAAGAGATTTACAGCTCATTTATTTAAGTAATTCAGGGGAAAAACACCTAATATGTAATTTTTCTAACAAAAAGCGTTATTTCCTGCAGATTTTATCTCTGCCAGCCCTGATGGAGTAACGCTCTACAACCTTAGAGACCAAGGCTACTCACCAAACAGCCTTTCAGGCGGTTCTGCTCCTCCTTCACCTCCTTTCCCATGATCCCATGCGTCTCGGGTCCCACGTTGCATTGGGGTTCAGTGGCTGGTGTCAGGAGGTCAACATCTTCCCTGGTGAAAGTGGATCCAGACGGAGAGAGTGCTGTCCTGTCGGCCCTGGAGGAGGAGCGGAGCAGGAGGTCACAGAGGCGCTGACAGAGGGGCCTCAGAGACCAGAGGAGAACTCCCGTTATGGCTCCGAGGTTTTACGCCTGTGTTTGTATTATTGGATTGAAATAGTTGCACTCAGTGACCGATAAGATGGATGAGATGATGTCATGACTAGATCTAAAGATAGGCCGTCCACATGGGAGATGCTCGGCCTGAGAAATGTTTGGGAGGCAGCAGATTTTAGCGATGGGCCTGGACTTCTGACTTCAGACTCAATCCAAAGTTTATTTATGAAGATAAATTAATCTCAAAAGTATTCACACATGTGCACAACGAGATTTGTACGTGTACAATAAGATCCACAAATGTAGCAGTGTGATGTTATTACACTAGATTGTAAAATGGGAAGATTATTGTGGTAGGAAATTATATGAGCACCGGCAGCTTTTATTTTGAAAAGACGACAAATCCACTGTAAAACAGCAGGTAACTTCCCGTTTTGAAATTATGATTTCATTTGCATTCATTGTGTTCTTATGACTGTAGTTGTGAGTTATTATTTTTACCGTTGAGCATATCAAGCTCTTAGATTGTTATTTTGGGTTTCAGTTTGGTGTTTAAACAGATAAGTTGAACGGATCATACCATTATGGTGGGTAAATTGGTTTTTCTCCACCAGATGGTCTCTTTTCTTTTGGATTCCATGGGAGCAGGTATAAAGTTTTTGTGCTGTGCTTAGTGTATTTTAAGCATAGTAAGTAATAGTTCAATCACTGTTCTTGTAAAATACTCTGTTATGGAGCAGTTAAGCTTTGTTAAAGAATGGTAGGACAGATTAGCATTTAGCAGTCCTCATGCTACATGAAACATTGCTAATGAAGTTACTATGTCCATGATATTCCCACAAGACACAACGCAGAATCAAATATGCTACACAAGCGTACCACAAGTTTGACTAATGCTTATTACCAGATTCACAAATGCATAAACAGTTAGTTAAATTTACACAGTTCAGTTTGTACAAGTAGTAAGTAGTAGCTCAAAACCACTGGCACATACGCTTAAAATATATATTTTTGTATTTTCTTCCTCTGCCAAAAATACTGGAAATTATATTTTTATGTATAGTTTTTTCCACAAGAAGCAAATGTTAATTTTGAGGATTGTACGGCTGAAATAAACATAAAAAATGGTTAGGGTATTCTTTCTCTTGTAAAATAGGGAGAATCCAGTATTTTCTTACTTTGCTAAAGTACCGGAAAATAATTTCCGTTATATATTTTTCTGGAATAAACTACCGGTACTGAGAGGATCTGGGTATCTTGTATGTTCATGTACCTGTAGGAGTTGTGGTCTTGTCCCTGATGTCGTGTTTATGTCTGTGTTTCCCCCTGATCCTCTGTTTCTCTTTATAGGGTTTGGGTTTCTCTAGTATCTAGTCCCATTTTGTGTCGTGTTCATATCTTGCATTCTTTCTCCTTCTCTGGCATCTGTGATTACCCACAGGTGTCATCACTTGATCTAATTGGTGTTTCCTGTAGGTAAATCTTTGTCTCTGTGTTAGTCCTCATCCTGGCATTTTTTATCCGTTCACTGGTAATGACCTGTCTGTATTGTGAGTACCCCCTGTTCATTCTATGTTTTTATTTTGCTGCCATGTCAGCTTGTTTGTTCTGTTAATAAATTATTTATTTTACATATTTCTGAGTCCTCACCTGCTTGCCTGCATCATTGTGTTCACCAGCACCAGCCAATTGTGACAGTACCTTTCTTTTCTGTCGTCCTCAGTGTTCTCTCCCCAGGTATCAGCTCCTGCCTCTGTCACCTGTTCCTCGTTGTCTTTCCCCAGGTGTTTGTCATTATCTCCTCAATAGTGTCTCTATAAGTTCTGTGTCTCGTTCTTGTTTTCTTGTCCGTGGATTGTCCTGTTATGGCTGTCATGTTCTGTCTTCCTCCGTGTCTCCTGTTATACTGTACAGGTATGTATATTTTGCTGCCACGTCAGCCTTTTGTTTTCTTTAATGAATATTCTTATTATTTTACCTTCAAGTTCCCTGAGTGTCAGCACTTTGGGAACAATCCACACCAGATCATGATGACTACAGGAAAATTAATCTCCACAGTATTTTTAACAGAGGAAGAAAATACCAGAACCTATAGTTTTCTTGTAGTTTTTTTTTTTCAAAGGAAGAATAACCTAACCATTTTGAGTAGTTTATTTCAAATATACAGTTCACACAAAAAATATTTGAAAATATATTTTACTGGTTTTCGAAGAAGAAAATGTTAACTTTGTGGACTGCACAGCTGAAATAAACATCCTATTGTGCTTAGATAGAAATGAGTCTTTTCCCAATAACTCCTGTTTGTGGAATCCTTGTGGATTTTGTCGCGCGCTCGTGTGACTACTTTTGAGACTAATGCACCTTCATATATTTATCTTCGAAACCTTCTAAATGCCATGAAATGTTCTAGTTCTTATTAAAATCCCGGGGGATTAAGCAGGTGAGAAGACTTGTTATGCAGAGCTTGTTCTAAATGATAGTTTTCTCAGATTAGCTGTCGTGTCACTTTAAATGAGGGTAACAGTGTAGCTCTGCTCACTTGCCTTAAATCTCTCTGAAGAAGAGCCCAGCAGTCTTTAGCCTCGGTTTGCTTCTGTTTGACGCCGGCAGCCAGAGCAGGATGGAGGTGAGGCAGCTGGGAAACGCTCACATCCAGCATCTACCACAAACAGGCCTGCAGGTTAGGCAGCGAAGGCCTCTACAGCTCGTTTCGGCATGCGCTGCAGGCCGTGCTGCTTTTACCCAACACGTTTCTCTTACCAGGACTTGACCGGCGATGTCTCGTACGTCTCTGTCGTCAAAGCTGTCCAGCTCTTTGGATGATAAGCTTTTCCTCTGACAGAGAGGATCAAAGCAGCTTTTATTAACTAATGAATTAACACACATTTAACTGGGATTTTCAGTCAGTTTACCATGCTGTTAATAGACTCCAAGGTGTTATCTGCCTGCTGGTAAAATGATGACACCTCAAGAGCCAGCTGAAGGTTTTTGTGGTGGTTTTTTAGCTGCGACTGGGCCTTCAGCCACCTGCAGAAACATGTACCTTAAAGCTTTTCCACACGGTTCACGTGAGTTTACAGGAAGGAAGAAAACCTACATTTTATTGATGTGTTTCCTTTTACTGGAGATGTTTCTGCCATCTGTCTTCCCTTGCTTCTCCAGTTTCAGAGCCAAGTTGTTGATCTCCTCATGTAGGTTTCTGTGGAGCTGCTCATCCTGTTGAAAACAACAAAACATTAATGTCTTTAATAAATAGCTTTATACAATTCATTACATTTGGGAAGACATGCGCTTTGTTTGCTTTTTGTCCGTTTTACTGTAACGAGGGGGTTCAAACTCATACATCCATGTTTCTTATTGTCTGAATGTTTATGAAGCATTCACTCTGTTGTGATCCATTTTACTTCTGTACAATTTTCAGCACAGTTCTCGTCCCACAGTTTTTAAGCTATTTTAACAAATCATAAATCTAAACGTTCAGCTCTTTCAGGACAATCCTGCTGTGACTTTTGGTATTGGTGCAAATTTAGCTTTTTGAAATATTTAGCCTTTTCTGCCACTTTTTTCCTTCATAGAAAATGAATTGAGCTCATTTTACATCCTTCACGTCTTTAGATCTGTTTACACCTTTTTACTCACGTTTTGTTCTGCTTCGGCTTCTTTCAGCTTTCTTGTGCAAATTGTAACTTTTTTTTCATCTAACTTCAGCTGTTTTTCAGTTGTTTTGTGCTCCTTTCAGATTATTCGAGCTAATTACAACATTTTTGTGCTTCTTCTAACTTCTTCTTTCTGCTAAATTCAGCTGATGTCCATTTCAGCTTATATCTGCAAGTTTCAGCTGTTTCTGCTATTTTAGCTACTTCAGCTGTTTTATGGTAATTTAATCATTTTCAGCTAATTCCACAATTTTTGCACTCCTTTCTACTTTGTTCAGCCTAATTCAGCAAAAACATGCTCTCTCCACTTCCTTCAGGTAATTTCAGCTTCTTTCTGCTTTTTTAGCTACTTCTCAGCTGCTAATTTTAGTTTTTTTCCAGCTAATTTCCATTTTATGTGTTCATTTCTGCTTCTTTCAGCCTAATTGGGCCAATATGTGTTCTTTCTGCTTTGTTATGCTAATTTAAGCTTGTTCTAACTTTTCAGCTACATTTTTAGCTAATTTTAGCTGTTTTCAGATAAATTCAAGTTTTTCATGGTAATCTCTGCTACTTGCAGCCTAATTAACTTCTTTCTGCTAATTTCAGTTATTTCAGATACCATTTAACTGTTTTATGTTAATTTTGGCTTTTTAAGCTAATTCCACATTTTTTGAGCTCATTTAAACTTTTTTCAGCCTAATTCAGAAAAATGTGCTCTCTCCACTTCCTTCTGGTAATTTAAGCTTCTTTCTGTTTTTTAAGCTACTTTTCAGCTGTTTTCAGATAAATTCAAGTTTTCCATGATAATTTCCTCTACTTTCAGCCCAGTTAACTTATTTCGGCTAATTTCAACTTGTTATGCTCCTTTTAGCTTCTTTCTGCTAGTTTCAGCTTTTTTCTACTATTTCCGCTACTATTTATCTGTTTTTGTGCTAAATGTAGCTTTTTCAGCTAATCCCACATTCTTGAAGCTCATTTCAGCTCCTTCTGCTTCCTTCTTTAAGCTTCTTTCTTCCTTTTCAGCTACTTTCACCTATTGTTGTTAATTTCAGCTTTTTTAAGCTAATTTCCTTACTTTGTGCTAATTTCTGCCAATTGAAATCTAATTCAGCAAATACTGTATGTGTTCTTCTGCTAAGTTAGCCTTGTTCATCCATTTCAGCTACATTTCAGCATGTTTTTCAGCAAGTTCTTCTGCAATAAGGATTCACACTGCATTTTCTCAGGAAATGCAATTTCTCTACTTGTATTAGATTTTGTTATTTTCATTTGCATTCTTGCTATAGCTAGTTCAGCATAAACCAAAAGAGACCTTGAAATGTATTATAAAGGTCAAACATTTGTAAATGAGGGAATTTTAGTTCAGTAATTTAACTGCGGACGTTTTAGAAATTAATTAAAGGGAAGAACGGGTAATTTGGTTGAAAATTCAGTTTTATTTTTCATATGTAGTGACACTTCACTACACTGCACATCACAACTTGTGTAGTTTAGAGCAGTACCTCATTGGGCTGTGACCGATCGACACGTTTGCATTAACTCTGTGAAAATTTGAAGCGAGTTTGCAGGTAAATGACCAACGAACATACAGCTCTAGTGCTCTAGGATGTTGAAAACTAAACTAAGAGTTCCAGACGTCTGCAAAGACCGCAATTATTTTACAAGAAAATTTCTCAAGCAAAGATTTTTCAATGCCTGACCGCAGACGAGCACTGCAAATAACTGGATTTATTTGGCGTATATTTGGAATTGCATACATAATTAATGATTTATTTAACCTTGACATGTGATCCTCTTCTTTTTGAAGTAAATATAAAGTTTTGTTTAAAAAAAACAACTAAAATTTAGCAAAGCTTGACCACAAGGGGACGAAAAAACTGCTCCAGCGTCTCACGGATGTCTACAAAATTTGTCGAGACAGGCGGAGAGTACACCACGCACGACACACTACACAACCCTAAAGCTGCATCTCTCTGCACTGCGACTGTTGGTGACCAACTGGAAACATGGCAAACCCGAAGGGATCTCCAAAATGTCTTAAAATGCGTGCACGCATTCTGCATTTCCTCATGCGAGATGCAGAATGTCACTGGAAAATTAAAAACACATTAAAAAATATGAACA